ATGATCAATCACTGAATTGATGTTTAATTCTGTTCTTATTTTAGGGAAAATGAGTATTGTCCAGGAGATTCAACATTCAAATTTATAATCTTCATCCTCAGTTTTCTTCTAGGTATGGTTCTTGGAAATGTGACTTATCTTTTGGTGTCGGGAAGAACTCTGAAAGAGGAGAATTCGGGGACTGCTATCACTATAACAATTATAGCATTGTTATCTCTTTAGGACATTGTTATTTCATGCCTGAAATGTCTCCTACTCTTCTAGCATTCCTATTCCTTCTCCAAACCCTAAATTCCTGTGCTAAATTTCAGAATACCATCTTTTCCAGACCTGTGAAAAGGCACACTCATTCCTTGGTAGATCTGTTTCTTCCCATGCAGTGCAATAAATTACCACAAACTTAGTGAATGAAGACGAACCACATTTGCTATCCTGTAGGTTGTGAAGCTTAGTCTGGTTTTCCCATTACTAAATCAAAGTCTTCACGGTAGTCTGGTTTTCCCACTACTAAAGCAAAGTCTTCACGGAAGCTTAAAGTTCCCCTTGTAAACCTCACAGGCTTCTTCAAGTTCACTAGTGGTTAGTAGTTCATTTTATTTTTCATCCTAGGCATCTGAGGTTTCAGCTTTCTTATTCCTGAGGGGATGTTTCTATGCTCCTAGAATTTACTCTAGCACATGGTTCCTACAAACTGTTTAAACAGGTATTGATTTTTCTTCAAGACTGACAGGAAACCATCTTCCTGACTCTATTTCTTTTAAACATCTTATCTTATTATGCCAGATTCACTTTTGATAATTTCCTTTCTAATAGTGCAAAAAGCATCTATGGCTAATGCATGTCAGATTTCCTTTATCATATAAGGTAAAATTATCACAACACCCACCTTTATATTCAGGATTTCTTCCGACACTTAGGGAGAGGGGTTACATAAGGATGCTGGGTCCTAGAGGGTTATCACAAATTTTGCTTAATGCGTTAAAGTAAAAGCTAGTTATCCAGAAAAGAAAATCTCAAGATTTGGTAATAAGAAATGCTCAAACTGCAAATTACCAAGCATATAAATAGAATGAAAACTTTAATGCAGCTGCCAGCTCTCAGGGCGTTGAATGATTTAGAAAGGCAGTGCACATCTTTTTTGCACAGTAAATGGCAGAGACTCAGACTTCCTTACTTCCCAGAAGATTAAAGCCTGCAGGGAACACCTGTGGTTTGGATGTAGAGCTGCCCAGAGGCACCAAAAGGGTGTCTGAGTCAATGCCTGAAGGGGCAGGGAACCTAGAGCAGAGATGGAATTGTGATGGTTCCATTCTGCCCTTGAAAGCTTTTAGAAAAAATAAGTTTCACTACTCCTCAGAGAATACATTCCTAACTCCTTAGTCTGGGATAGAAGAGTTTCAAAAGCACATCTGAATTCTACCTCCTTGGTTGTCTTGCCTAAGCATACCCTCTATAAAATTTCCTCAGTATTTAAACCACTTACCTTAACCACAGGGATAAATTAAATCCCTTTCTGTAGAATGTCCTATAAGTTACCCCTAGCTTCAACTCAAATGATGGATTTTTAACACCTATTTATTCAATGGTTAGATATTACTTACTAAATGCCTATTTATGAATGAACATCTGAATGTAACTAATTCATGTATTTGAGCCTGAGAGACTGAAAGTTTGTGTAATCATTTGTCATTTGAGAATGTACTAATGAACCACTGGTCTTTCTGTTTTATTTATAATTTTTATTTAGAGATTCACATACCTTAACAATCATTATTTGTTAAATACAGAAATAACAGCAAGAATGATGAAAATCTAAAATGTACTTAGTGATTTTTGTACCTGGCAGCAATTTCTTGTGTGTTATCTGCAGTGTCAAGCAACAGTATCAAGGAGGCATTATTATAGCAATTTTAGAGGAGAAGACAAAAATCTCAAAAATGAAGGACTTCTACACAGGTAATTGATACTTATGCTGTTGACTAAATGAATGAAGTCCTCTGTAGATAGATGTGATCAAGTAGTGCTCTCTAGAAGAAAATTCACTCAGAAACATAAAAAGAAAATCCACATGACAGGTAATCTAAAGAAAGATACTTATTTTTATATACATTCATCTTCGTAGAAAAGAATTCTAATAATGATTATTTTAATAACTGTAGTCACCTTAAACATCTCCAGGTTAAGGGTCTTGGATTCTTCATGTGACACTTCTTTCACAGGCTCTAACATACTGGGAAGCTGAGGCACATTAGAAAACTCTTACTGAACTGAATTGGATTAGATTCTAGTAGCTTCACTTTCCCTTCTGTGTTATACTAACGCTTATGTGTGTTCAAAGTTTCAAGTAATGCTGTAGTAAATTCGGCCAGGTGGTAGTGGAAGTCATATGTTTTCATCTCTGGAAAGACAAGGTAGTGCACGATGATGATAGATCACTCCTTGCTACGTATAGTGTCAGCTAAAATAATGGTTCTATAAAATAACACTTAGCAAATTCAGAGGACAGCAGGCAAAATGAATGTTCGAGCTGTGCAGACTACTGCACTTATCTTATTTACATGGATGCCTATCAAAGGGAAGTTTACAACACTCAGGAAGCTCCCATCTTGTTGATAAGACAAATGGCCTAGGCGTGCACAAGAGTTGTAAACAAACAAAATGATATGTAGATGAATTAAAGTGTCTCTGTGTGTGGGGGAACATAACAGTTCTATAAAACATTATTGCATTGAAAAACATTAGGGAAGGAGGCTTCACAACTTCAGAATACAGAATAGAATACCACCTCCCCTCACATATCATTAGTTTCGTTTGATATTTAAAGCAAAAGCCAGAATTGTTAAAAACTGAATTGATTGAATAAAAAGTTATTATATTATTGGTTTCTCATGAGTTTACAATGTTAAGTATGCTCAGTTAATATGAATGAATTATCTAATGTTTTACCTCTTTAACTATCCTGGGGAGTCAGGAAAGACTAATCCTTAGACCACTGAGAAAATACTAAGGATATGTATTCAACAAACTAGTTCATTATGTTAAGGTTAGGGAAAAGATGCCAGTTATAAAAACAGTTCACTGGCAGGAGGAATGGCCCCCACTTTAAGAGAGTTTTTTCCTCTTTCAGATGACCTAGCTTCAATTCCCAGCATCCACACCAGGCAGTCACAACTACCTATAACTCGGACATCTGCTTCTGGTCTTCACAGGCATCCTCATATGTATATTTTACAATTCTAACACATACAAGTACATTCATAAGTGCATGCATACAAATATGGACATGCACGTACACAGAAATACAAATAAAAAGTCCTTTCAAAATCTTTGAAATAATACATTTCAAAAATACTTGCTATCCTAAACCAAGTCTTTCACAGAAAAAAAAAAAGACTTCTGTGAGGCTTAAGAATTTGCTGCCTAGAATATTTCTGTAAGCTGCAGAAGGAATTTTATACATATCCTGCAGTATAGGGCTTTCCATTAGAAGTGCCTAACATAAAACTGACTGGAACAAATGCTTGTCACAGTCAGATTACCAGGGAAGCAGAATGAAAGATTAGCTTAGAAAGATCTGACTGTGTCCAGAAAAATCTACTACATACATCCTAAAGTCGGTATTAGGATAGACATTATTGAGCCTGCTGCAATACAAGATTCAGGGCACATAGCAATCTGAATGTCAACTTTAGAATGATAAAGTATCCAAGTTTAATTTTATGTCATACAACTAGTTAATCTTATAACTAGTAGTTAGGAAAAATGGTGAATAAGGTTAAAATTGTTGATAAGATATTATTAGGAGAGTATACATGTAGAAAGTAAAATAGAATACACATGACAGTAATTTTGTATATTACAATCTTGGTATGATAAGCAAACCCACGTGCCAGGACTGAGTTTTCACTACTAAGAATCAAATAATTGGATACAAGATAAAAACTACATGTAAAAGTAATTGGAGTGGTTGGGATAGCATGTTATATAGAAAATTATGCCAAAAATTATACCATTACATGTTATAGGCAGCTTGTTTGAATAGCCTACACAAACAGCTATCATCTATGAACTAACAATCGCCACTACACAATGGATTACTAATGTATATGTGATACCAGGTCTAACACCTCCATATGAGATTCAAGATACACCAATCATACTAGGATGAACTACTTAATCAATCACAGACTGGCCACTTCCTATTTGAATTTTCCTTCTGTGAAAACCTTAGGTTACGTATGTTTTGTGTGTGTCAGAGAAAACATGAAACCAGTACAAAGCCTCTAAATTATTATGGATTTTACCGAAACAAACCCCTTCACTTACATTTTTTAGAATCATTAGAAATCAAATTTATGATGTTTAGGTTTTCCTTTCAAGACATTTTAATTCCAGAAGTCTTCAAAATGAAGAAATAATTTCTACCTGATTTCAACCTCATACCATCTTCCTAATTATAATATATAATTTATGGGAGTTGAAATACTGGTTTGTTTCCTACTGTATGTCTTCAAATATCAACCTGTATTTTTCCCCTTACATTAACTTATTTTCTGGTCTTGTCTTCTTAGAAGTATATATTAGTTCTACATTGGAATTTTTTATATAAGTAGAAAATGAATTACATAGTCATTATATTAAAGATTTTTATTTAGTTAGTTTGTGTGTGTTTCAGGCTTTGCATATATGCGTGAGTGCATATAGCGTTCAGAAGAAAACTTGCAGGAGTGGCTTCTTTCATTCCATCATGTGGATTGCTGGGATCGAACCTCAGTCAGCAGGTTTGGCATCAGACCTTTGTACATACTAAGCCGTCTTGCTGCCTCATAGTGATAGTATTAATACAATTTATGAAACTATATAATAAGTAATTATTAAATCTCACTTCAATTAAATTGAAAATAACCAATACTGTGATCTGAAACATATGGAAAATTCTCTGTTTTGACCCAGCATAATAGTTTCATCAATGTTGACTAGGGATTTTCCCCATGCTTTACCTTTGATTTCTTTGTCATTTTTGAACCATCTTATATCAGCTGCAGGCTTACTGCCAGATGTCTTACAAGTCAGCTGCATCAGGTCTCCCTCCATGACTGGTGATGAAAATCCACTAATCTGAGGCTTCTCTGGAACACCTAAAATTTAATAAGGAAAATGAGCATCAGTCTACAGGGATCACCTAAACATCTGCATGCTAAAATAAACCATTTTGCAGATATGGCAAATATTATACACATTGTCCAGAAAGCATTTTAAAGTATACATACTTTAAAGTAGTTTTTAAATAAAAATCAAAAAATTTCACCTGCAAAAATAGACTCAAACGTACATTTCAAATATAAGTGATTTTTCCAGTGAGCTATTTAAGAAGGTAAACTGAGTTAAGGGAAATATTCATAAAACATACTTCTCTTTTGTCAATTGTATTATTTATCTAACCTAGAAACTTTCATCCCTGACTTTATAATTCTTAAATCTTAAAAGGAATCAGTATATTCCCTGTATTTTATTCAAGAAAATTGGTTTTTGAATAAGGGATTCATGTATGGTCACATCCACACTGACTTTTGATTCTTTTATAGTAGAGAATTCATCTCAATAGTTTTCACTAGAAATTCAACTGTGTTTGAGAAATCATAATATCGACCTACTATTTCAGTCATCACTATTTTGCTTTATTTCAATCACTTTATGTAAATAATTGAACCTTTAAGAATATATGGGAGTGATTTGAAAACATAATATACATTGAAAGTAGATTTTTTTGCATTTGTTTGTATAATATGTATTACATGAATGAATGTGTACGAGTTCATGTGGAAGGCTGAGCAAATGCTGTGGCTAGCATGTAGAAGTCACAGGAAAACTGAGCTGTTCTTCATCTTCTGCCTTATTTGATTGGGTCAGGTTCTTTCTTTCCTGTTCTCTGACACTGTGACGGTTGCTCCAGGACAACTGGTCCACATGCATCCTAAGAATTCTCCATCATCACCTCCTATTTAGCTCCAGGAATGCTGGGTATAAAGACCTGTGCTCCCTCACAAGGCTGTTACCTGGGTACCAAGTGTCTGAACTCGGCTCATCTGGTTTCTACACTAATGCTTTTACCTGCAGAGCCAACCCCACAACATGAAAAAAAAATCACACATTTCCTATACAGTATCATCCAACTATTTTCTTGGAGGTTTGTTGAAGTATCATGTACCATTATTCTGTAACAAATGTGCCTGAAAGTTGTCCTTATTTTACCATTTTAACTTAATTTCTGAGGATTTTAAAACATAAGAATATTAGAAAGCTCTAGTAAGAGAAATACAAAGGAAAATAACAATGAAGATAAACTAGAAGTAAGCTTACTTCTCTTAACTAGCTAGTTGGTCCGTGTGGGCTCACCTCGAAATCCGTTAAGGAAAAAAATCAATGTCATACTGCAATTTAATAAACTACACTCTGTAGTCATTTATTTTGTGAGTCTTGAGTTGGCTTTACAGAACAATGCATTAACCTTAGGCAATTGTTATCTTGGAACATTCTACTTTAGTGGATGTATCTTGTCCTTAACGGCAAACTTGTGAAGATTTTTATGAAATAGTTGCAGAGGGACTTGCAATGAAACATATTTCACATCTCAAGCACAGAACCAATTCGCTAGCTGGATTAACTTTAATATTCCTGCCCAAAAGGATGTTATGCATTGGCTATTTTCAATGCAACGCTGTGCCTTTATCTGTCTAAAAAGGAAGGCAAGCTAGGGGCAAAAAGAAAAAAAATCAATCTTTAAATTTCTCAAACTTGTTCAGTACACAGGTGCGTTTCAATGAACTGCAGCAATTTCAGCTGACTAGGGCCCTGTGGAGTCTATGAGCTCTGAGCTGCAGCTTTATTGCCTCTGAATCTCTACCAATGCGTTGCTTTTTTATGTCACTTTAACCTTTTAGAAAATGGCCTGATACTTAGAGGATAAAAGCACAAGGAAGCTACAAGCTGCATGCACAAGTGACATTACGTACTTCATTTACGGATCTAGGAAATACACATTTTTCTTCTTTTAAATAGAGACACATGGAAAATTCGGGGCCATTTAGATGCGATAGAGTAGAAAAAAGAAGTCATTTTTGAAAGCCATGGGTTATTAGTGGAGGCCCCCATCAGGTGACTTAGACCATAAGATAAAGAACATCCTTTGCACATAAAGAAGAATCACTGTGCTCAGTATTCGATCACTTTTTAAATGGCTTCCAATCACACTGTGTATTCATGACCTTGATATAAAATTAATTAGAAGAAGAATACATTTACTACCTAAAACACAAAATGGCATCATTCTTTCTGCCATTCACTCTAACCTTCGTATCTGCCTTTGTCCATTTCTAAAATGAAAGCAACTAAGTGATTCTTAGAGATGTTTTTCTGGGAGGCAGCAATGAATTAAACTATGTCTATTGATTTGATGTTCAATAAATATTTTCCAATTGAACCATACTGTAGTAGGGCACATGTTTCAGAGAGTGTGATTCCATGGTGTTAGTGTCTAGCGCTTACCCAAGACAGTGAGATAGGCCTTGGAAGTTTTGACAGGCATTGTAAATAAGGAGCAGGTATACTGTCCTTCGTCCGAGAGAGACACATCACTGACACTGATGCTCAACTCATGCCAAGAAGCGCGAACCAGCTCGATCCGATTGTCCCTTAAAGCTGCAAAGAGAAAATATTGAAAAAAATGTGAATAACATAGCACACCACAAGCGTATTGAAACAGAGTTTGGACACATACAATGGATATTTTATTGAACAATACATTAAATTTTTACCTCCTGAGACACAGTAAAGACAATTTTAAATATCTATGTTTAAAAACATAGAACAATTGGGAGTTACTTAATCACTGAAGAAATAACCATTTAATTATGTGGTCAAATTCTGTATCAAACTTTCAGTGAGGAAGAGGTTAATGGTGATAAAAATTGTTTTCATTTACATTCATTTTATAGAATGAATAACATTGGCAAAAATACTATGAAAGTGAATGACATGCATTTGAGGAACTGAGATTGCTAGAAATCTTGCAAGACATCAACAAATCATTTCTGTATATCAAAAAATTCGCTGTCATAGAGACACTCATTGAATATTATTTACACAAGACATGACATTTAGCTGGAAAGTACCTGTGTCTTACCTGTCACATTTTCACTGATTGGGTAGTGTATTATGATAATATATTCTTATGTTAAAATCACTCTTCTACTACAACTATTTCTAGAGAGTCTGCTAGAATGTTACAAAATTTTGTACATTTTTCACTCAGTTGGGAGGGAAAAAATGAAAGTTTATTATGTGCTTCATTAAGAAAAGCAATAAAATCTAAGAAAAGCAAGAGAGAGCTAAGAGTTTTTTTTCCGCTGACAACCAGCCCCAGTAAGCAAATAAATCCCCACTGTATTCTGTGATTTGTTTCCATTAGAAACACAGAAAGATAATCAGTACGAAGTTGGAAGGCTGTCCCTAACCTTCACCACCAGGAAGGGCAGTCTCTCCTGGGGAATATCTACTTTCTAAAGTGACAAGTCTAATGTCAAAATTAGTGTCCATTCATGTGTAGCTGAACATGTCCATTGGACCAGATAATACCACAAAGTCTGACAAAAACTGGACTCTTGCGTGAAGCATACATAAAATATAACTGCATACCAGGACCTGCTTGTTACCCTTAAAACATACTGAATGCACTTAGTGAACACTAGGAATGCATGTTAGCATTTCCTCTAGGCTCCTGCTTGTTACTCTTAAAACATGCTGAATGTACCCAGTGAATGCGTGTTAGCATTTCTTCTAGGTTCCACCCAACAGTTACCTAGCAACATCCAAGTGGGAGCCTGGCTTGCTATAAAAAAGACAGGCCACTACTGTGCTCTCCTACCCTCTTCTCTCTTTCTGATCCCTCTCCCTCTCTCTGTCTTCTCTTTCTCCTTCCCCCTTTCCCTTCTCTCTATGTGTTTACACAGGCCTCCTCCTCTTCTCCTTCTCCTCCTCCTTCTCCTCCTCCTCCTCCTCCTCCTCCTTCTCCTCCTCCTCTTCCTCCTCCTCTTCTTCCTCCTCCTCCTCCTTCTCTTCCTCCTCTTTCTCCTCCTCTTCTTCCTCCTTCTCCTCCTCCTCCTTCTTCTTCCTTTTCTTCCTCTCCCCTCCTTCCCTCTTCTCTCTCTTTCTCTCTCCCTCCTCTCTCCCTCCTTCCCTCCTTTCTCTTTTCCCACATCTCTCCTCTCTCTCTCCCTCCCTCCTTCCCCCTTCCTCCCTCCTGCCTCTTTCCTTCTCTGACCCTCCCTCTCTCTCTGCCTCTACTCCCTTCTCAAACCCTCTTTCCACGCACTCAAATAAACTTCATTTTATACTATGACTGGTACCTCAAGGAAGGTTCTGGGATGCCCCAGCATGAGTCTGCTAAAGAATCCCCTCCCACTGCACCATAACCACACTTTACAAAACATATCACCTAGAAGTTATCTATTCCTATGGCACCCAGCCTTGATGTAAAAAAGATTCCTGGGAAAAATTCACTAGCTAGTCACTTACTGCTATTGTTACTAATTTATACTCTTATTAGGATTTAGAATCACCTAGGACACAATGCTCAGCACATAACTCTTAGGGATTAGATTATGTTAGTTGAGACAAGAAGACCCATATGTGGGTGTTACCATCCCTTACTGAATAAAAGGGAAAAAGGCAGCTGAGCACCTCTTGACTTTGACTGGGGTATAATGTTCCAGCAGCCTTTTATTTATTCCCTGGAGCTATTAGTCAAACGAACACACTCTTCCTCAAGTTGCTTTTGTTGGGTATTTTTGTTAGGACCTAAGAAACTAAAACACTGGCCATAACAAACACTAGGAAAATCATAATTTTAGTGAAGAGAGTAACCAAGAAAACACTAATCAGACTCAGATAATGGGATTTTCTGACAAAAATTTTGAAGCGGCTATCATGACTCTAAACACAACTTAACAAGCAATAACTAATTACCGTAGAACAAATTAAAAACTTTAAAAGTTAGTAAGAAAATGAGTTTGTTCAAAAAGTCACAAAATCCAGAAAATGAAACCACCATATTTGTCTATCATCAGACGAATACTTAAAAAAAAACACATAATACACATATACAATCTAACTTTATGTAGATCTAAAATAAATGAGATTATGACATTTGAAGGAAAATGAGAACAATTGCAAATCATTATATTCTACAATAAGCCACATTCAGATAGACAGTGTTTATCTATTCTCAAAGGCACAATCTAAGCATGAACTTGTAAATGTATGTGTGAGTGCATTTACATGTGTGTTTGTATGTTCAAAACTTAATAGGTAATCATGAGAGGGGAAGAGGAGAGGAAGAGATTTTAAGGAAGGTAGAAACTGGAGATGTACTAGGAAAGCAGAATGGAGAACACATTGGACAGGAGTAAACAGAACCAGCAGGAAGTGGGGACCATCCAAAAGACAGCCCGACAGAGTATAGGGCGGGATAAGCAAAACATGATGATGCATATATGCAAAGATGCTGTATATCAACGTATTCACAAAAAGTCCTCACAGCTACATACAGTATGTTACAAGCCACACTGATCATCAGGTCTTGGCGACTATGGTTGGGATGTTACAGGTTCAGAGGCAAATCATCTTTGGCTAGCTCTAGCCCCTTGCTAGTCATATTGCTACCCAGCTCGGTATACATGAGCATGCTGTGACTATCAGTTAAGGTTTTAAAAATGTCCACATTGAATAAACGCTCTCTGGTCTCCTCTGAAGTCAGAGCTAATTTTTGTTGTTATCAGCACTGATGTGATGAACCCCATTACTTTTTATGCTACCCTATAAAAAATAAATAAATAAAATAAAAATTCTTTTAAACAGAATTTGAAGTAAATCAAAACAAAACCATTGATATTATCAACAGCATAAATTAAACTTTGCTGGATAAACTCAGTATACAGTACTCTAAAAGACAATAGAATTAAATTCAGAGAATCAGATACACTGCTTACAGACAGGAGTCTAGCATAGCTGTCCTCTAAGAGGATCTATCAGCAGTTGACTGACACAGATGCAGATACTTACAGCGAACTATTGGATTGAGGTCAGGGACCCTTATGGAAGAGTTAAGAGAAGGACTGAAGGAGCTGAAGGGGAGTGCAACCCCATAGGAAGACTAACAGTTATCAATTAACCTGGAATCCTGGAAGCTCCCAGAGACTAAGTCATCAACCAAAGAGCATACATGGGCTCGTCTGAGGCCTGGGCCACATATGTAGCAGAGGACTGCCTTGTGTGGCCTCAGTGGGAGATGTGCCTAATCCTGTAGAGACTTCATGCCCCAGGGAAGGAAGATGCAGGGGTGGGGGTCCAGGTGGGAGTACAGGGGGCACCCTGTTAGAGCCAGAATGGAAGAGGGGATGGGGTGAAGAATTCTGGGAAGGAGGGTGAGGGAAGCAACATTTGGAATGTAAATAAATAAAATAGTTAATAAAAAATAAAAATGAAGTCAGAACATCAAAATACTCAAACCAGAACAACCAAGAGAACATAGACAGGAAGGTAAAGGTAAAGAATATTCAGCACACTGTTAGTGACAGTGACCTGTTATACATCCAAACAAGGTGCCACTAGAGATGTCTGCAGAGAAGAAAGAAAACAAGGTTGCAAAAATAATGACAAAGATAGCAAATCTTTCCCAGATTGGCAAAACCATAAACGTACAGAATCAAGACACTGGGGAGTGTGAAATAGGAAAAATCAGCAATTCAACTCACTATGTGTTCAAATAAAACTTGTAACATTTAGAAATATTGGGAGAAAAACAGTAACACCAAATTGTTCCACCCATATGCATATGAACCTGTTAATTAAACCATGTGCTCCAGTTAAACCCTGAACTCCTGGGAAATACCTACCTGGAACCTGCATGGATGCAAGCTTCCAGAGGATGAGGGTTGGTTTCCTCCCATCTTACAACTTCATGGGGAATCAACTGTATCAGCTAGTATTTAAATTTCATTACAATACATTTACATTAACAATTTCAACATATTTTGAGTTCATAATCTTGGTGATAAACTGAATGTATTAATTTCCACACCACTTTGGTCATTTCATTTACTGAATATGCTTAGTGTTTCAAAGTTTTGATTATATTCGCTCTACAAATTTTACTTCTCCTTTGACAACTAGAACTAGAATTCTCCCCATGCCCCCCCAAAAAAACGCAAAAAAACCCCAAAAACAAACAAACAAAAGAAATTTAATGTGAATTTTGTTATTTATCAATGATCTTGAAGAACGCTTGACAATATTATCTCGGTGCTTTAAGTAACACTAATAACGACACTCTGAGATGGAAGATCAAGAAGAAATCTGGTTTAGGACTTCGTAACTGACACACATGTACATATATCCACAGGTAAATGTGCATATACTCAAAACTAAGGTCCTGTTATCATGTTCACAACCATTCTACCACTTTCTAAAAGAGCCTCACTCTGTAGACCAGGCTAGCCAGGAACATGTAACATTCCCCCTGGTTCCCTGGTAGGAAATATTGATTAACCATCGGCCAGGCCTCTCTTACTTAGCATCTCAATTTCTCTGTGAGTTTATTTGCTAAACAATAAAGCTGAGAGATGGGGTTACAGTAAATGTTT